ATGATCATCTGTTTGAAGTCATCTGTCATGATTCTCTACTATTCAGGTCTATCTGTACTTCAACCATCATGATTAGGCCCCTTGCAGACCTGGAAGTGAATGGAAGTCTCTCTCTGCACCCTTTCCGACATACATGGTTCCTGTTTTCCATTCTGTGTTCCTCTGAGGTCAGAACTCCAACTCAATTCCCTTTATAATCCTTGCCTCTCCTTCTGGCATCATTGCCCCACCCCTATGGTCCAGATACACCTGTTGGAAATCACCATGTCCTAGTAGGCTTTGCCCTCTAAACCAAGGTATCATTTTTCTCCCAACTAGTTGTCCATGCCTGTGGGACTTGCAGCTGGCAACATCACTCAATTGGCTCTCAGAGGGGTCTGGGAGCACCTGCCACTTTATGACACCTCTAGATTTTATTTCTTTTAATGATTGAGTCACTTGAATATCTAGTTCCCAGCACAGACCAAACTCTGTGGTTTTTTTAAAATGGATGGATGGACGATGGAACAGTGAAGAAATAAATGGATCAGTTACATGTGGGCCATCCATCTGCTTTAATACACCCTACACATTCCCACAGGTTAGTGGTCAATGTGGTTGGCTGCAGCTAGGTTTCCTGTTACTGACAGCAGAAAGCTTCCTCATTGAAACACACCTCCAAGCATTGGCTCATTTCTATTCTCCTTCTCGGGCATACCCTTGAGGTTTCCATGCAGTGCCACCATCCGCAATTAAAAATGCCTAAGAACATATTCTGTATTCTCCAAAGTGCTGATGCAGAAAGGAGGGGAGCAGCTATAAGAGCACAATAGTTGGGCACCCAAAACACACTTCAGCTGCATGTGGACAGAACCAAGTACTTTGGGTCACAGAGACATCAAATTTTAGACTGGAAGGAACAGCCAGTGTAATTTAGCCCAACCCTTTCCTTTTACCACGATGGAAACTGAGGGCCAAAGAGCATTAGTGACATCTATGTCTTGACTCTGTGTGTGTCCGTTAGGCCTGAGCTCAGGTATCCTGAATCTCTGAGCAGCGCATTCTCCCCGACCTCACTGTCCCATTAACACGTGTCTTTAATGCATGTCCTCGCCGTCACAGGCAGAGCGGGTACCTCAGTCCCAGGGGCACGTGGGAGCTCATGGAAACCTGGGCAGGACTGGAGGCAGGAGGCATCGGTGGTAGTTGTTCTGGGCAGCAGGCTGGAGGGGGTGGCAAGAGCTTTTCCAAAGTTTGGCTTAGCTGTTCAGGATTTAAACTTCTACCCCTATTTACCTATAGAAATTGTCTCCCACGGTTTTTGAAAGGCTTTCCAGGCGCTGCCAAGGTCACTCTTATCTCCCCCAGTGTTTCCCCACTCACCCCGCACACTTCCTTTCGTGTGTCTGTGCGTGGTGGGAAGGGGTTAGTAGAACGAGAGAGGCTGGAAGTTTTTGTTTTGTTTTGAATTGTTTTGTTCAGAAATTCTGCTTTTTCCCATGAGCTGTTTGCAAGGCTTTGAAACGAGGGCTCAGAATCCCATGGAGGAACTAATGCGAGGCAGAGAGAAGATTGGCCCCAAATTACCGTGTCTTAGAGATTAAAAAGGCACTGCTTACCTTCAACGCGGTGATAGTTATATTAGTAGAGAAATGAAATGTCCAATAACAGGTCATTATAATGACCTTTGGTAAATCCACAGAGTAGGAAACTATGTACCCCAAGGACTTGGCAATGGGTGGCGAGTAAGAATTGCTGAAATCAGCCAGGGGGGTACCTCATTGATTTCCTCTCACTGCACACCTGACAGTCACTAAAACAGAGAAGATGTTTCTCTATTGACATAGAACATGTCTCTGGAATATTGCTAAGTGGGGGAAAAAAGCATAAAACAATGTTCATAATGCAATATAAATTTCAAATTTATTAAAAATATATAGAAATAAAAATGTGGTGGATAAAAAAGTAGCAATATTTTAACTGTAGTTATAGGTGATTTTTAACTCCTGTTTATAATTTCCCTGTATTACTAACATTTTACAATATCACACTATTACGTTTTATAGTTAGGAAAACACTATAAGGGTTTGAAAAGTAAAGCTTTCTGTTTGTGGCTGGGCTCAGAGTTTGGTTTATGAAAGGGATAATGCTGAGCTGGTCAGTCCTTGCATTAGGAAAGTGAGGTGATCAATAAATGTTCATTTTCTTTCATATGAAGAAAGAAAGGCAGATGAGACATTCTCAGTGTGTGTGTGTGTGTGTGTGTGTGTGTGTGTGTGTGTGTGTTTGGGGGAGTGGGGAGAAACTCCAGGATCTGAAATGCTGAAGGGCAAGATGTATTCCTGGAGTTCCCAGTCAGAATTTGGCATCATTATTTCCCAACCAGAGACCGTCTTACTAGGTTGCTAGAGTCCTCAGTATTCTCGGCACTGTTGTTTAAGCAGCATTATGCCTTAAATAAACTTTTAGGGGCTAGCCTGGGAAGCTAACCATCCTTTACAACATTATTTCCATGGGAAAATATGCTCTAAATTCCACATCGCCAATTCATATCAGAGCTTTCAGGATGAAACCATTTTCAGTTTGGAGACTTGCAGTCCTTTCCCCTTTATTCACTAACTAGAGGTCTGGTGCACAAAATTCGTGCCTGGGTAGGGTCTCTAGGCCTGGCTGGAGATCAGGGTTGATCGGGGCTGGGCTGATTGGGGCGTGAAGGCCCTGGTGGGGTCGAGAGAGGAGGCGACGGCCACCCCAGGCATGGAAAAAATGGACGCCGATGCTAATGCCACCGTCATTGGTGCCCTCCCCCCCCCGCCCCCCCCCCCCCCCGGCCCCTGATCAGGGCCTGCGGCCAGGGGGAAGGATGGGGGCATGGGAGGTTGGCCGCTGGCCCAGGGGAGGGAGCTATCTCTTGGCCCCCCTGGGAAAGGGGCCACATTTGCTGCCACCCACCCCCAGTTCCCTGTCCCAGCCCAGGGCCTGGCCTCAATTGGGCGATCGAGGCCTGCCAGTGGGGGGCAGGGACTGCAGGAGGTTGGCCTGCTAGGGGAGGTTGGCTGTGGGAGTGCACTGACCACCAGGGGGCAGCTCCTGTGTTAAGTGTCTGCCCCCTGGTGGTCAGTGGGGCATCATCGCTACCAGTTGTTCTAGTTTTTCTGGTCATTCGGTCGTAATGGTCACTTAGGCTTTTATATATATAGGTTATTTCAAGAATTCCCTCTTAGTTTGTAATAGATTGCAGACTTGTGAACAAATCCTTTAGCTTATGTTTCATTTGTTAATCCAGCACAGTCACTAGGTTTTCAAAACTGGAAGGATCTTAGAGATGGGTACCAATAATTTTTAAATGAGCATTACTTCCCATTAATTGAGCTGCTAGAGTTGCCCAGGGATTGAGAAGTTATGCTGGTGATTTATGTCTTCCCAGCACTCCTCTTACTCTCACCATGATAATTAATTTTCTGGGTCAACTTAACTGGGCTAAAGGTGCCCAGGTAACCGGGTGTGTCTGTGAGGGTGTTTCAGGAAGAGATAGCATTTGATTCAGTAGACTGAGTAAAGAGATCTTCCCTCACAAACTTGAGTCAGCATCATCCAATCTGTTGAGGGCCCCAATGGAACAAAAAGGCAGAGGAAGGTTGAATTCTCTCTCTCTCTCAGCTTGAACTGGGGCACTCATCTTCTCCTGCCCTCAGATATTGGAGCTCCTGGTTCTTGAGCCTTGGGCTACTAGGACTTATATTGCTTCCCCCCTCCAATTAGTTCTCAAGCCTTTGGCCTTAGACTGGGAATTGTCTCATCAGCCCTACTGGTTCTCAGGCCTTCGGACCCAAATTAAATTATACCACTGGCTTTCTTGGTTCTCCTGCTTGCACATGGCATATCTCAGCCTCCATAATTACATAAACCAATTCTCATAATATCTATCATCTATCTATCTATCTACCTATCTATCTATCTATTATCTATCTATCATCTATCACCTATTGGTTCTGATTAATTCTTTCACTTTCCCCAATTGTTGGGAAAGGCTTTATGGAAACAATTCCTTATTTAAGGCTGTGCACACATTTCCCCAACATATCTACAAATCCATTGAGGTCAGGGCTAAGTCTTGTAGTCTTGAAGCTCCCCTAGCACTTGGGACATGACCATCTAGAAAGTACTTAGTAAATACTTGGAAACCTTCTGAGGCAGTGGGAAGACTACTGCTCTAGGTGTGATGAAAGCTGGGAGCTGGTCTCGGTTAGCTGTGTGAGTTTAGAGAAGTTGCAAAACCAAGGAATGGACAAGCTGATCTCAGAGGACTTTTCCATATCTGACAAGTAAACACTGAACTGAGAAGTACACGGCGTGTCTATGGGCAGATTTCAATCTGTTTGATAAGAGACTTCTAGGTCAGGGAAGATGTAGCACATTGTTGACTTCGGTTAGATTTGTTTGCTGTTTCAATTACTTAGGAGGTGAGTGGAAAAGAATCTTTTTTGATCTTCTAGACCTGGAGCAGTGATCTTTGACCTCTTCTGGGTCAAGAAAACTTTGTGAATCAGACAAAGACTATGCATGGTCTTTGTTTATGCATATGGGGTTCTTGAGGCCCCATAAAGACCACCATAGAACTTCTAGGGGTCCATTCATGTAATACTAAAATTGTCTGGCTAAAATTCAAATCAAGTTCACTATTTGGCCAAAGATGTTTAAAAATAGCATAAGAACAAAAGTTTTTGCATCTCCTCTCAAAAACCTTCAAGACCTAAGGTCCCCTCTCGCTCTTGGAGACAAGTTGTTCCAGGAACTAGAGAGGTCAAGAAATCATGTCTTTTCTCTAGTTTTTAAGCAGTTAAGCTCCAGGGACTTTCAGTTCAGTGCCCCAGCAGAGGTTAGAGGATCTATCCAGCACTAAGGGAAGTCCCCAGGTTTCCTCTATTATTTGAGAAATTTGGCTCCTGCTCTTGACCTTGGCCTCAGTATCCTCATTTGGTCCAATCACCCTTTACGTTCTTTTCAAACTCCAGCATCTTGCTATCCGTGAGTCCTTGATGCCTGTGTGGCACTGAGACAACCTCTACGAAGTCATGATTCTGGATTCTAATGTTGGTCTACTGCTGTCACTGAGGAAATTTCTGTGCACAGGGTAAGTTTGTAGAGCAACCTGCCTGAGAAGCATTCGGTTTACTAGAGGCCTTTAAGGGGAGGGCAGAGACCAGAGTCTTGGGGCTTTTCTGCTCTGCTCTAAGAAGAAACTTCTTAAGAGCCATCTGAGAAGGCAGATGTCCACTGGGCACATATATGCATCTAAATGAAACCCTTGTCCAGGGGACCAGGAAAGGCAGGCCAGCACCAGGGATTTAGCTGTGCCTTGAAGAAAAAGAAATCTCTTCTCCAGTCTCGGCCATTCTCCCACTTCCATGACTCACCTCCTCTCCGTCCAGAAAGTCTTGTACAGAAATTAGTTTATGGGTCCTGTCCAGAGGTCTTTAAGTAAACAGTGCTCCAATGTCCTTTCAGCCACCCAGACAAGCTTAATTTCAGGCCCCAGGGAGGAAGCTAATGACTTGTAGTTACTTTGCTATTGTTTTCCGAAAACAATTTGACTTCCTTTCAGATTAGCCTCAGAATTCCTTCTTTACAAGTCAAGGTCCTGGAGCCAAGGAAGGGCTGAGCTCACCAGCTCAGCAGCACAATGCTACAGGGCAAGATCTCCTTTCTGCAACAAGCACAGAGGCCCCTTGGGGGTGGGAGGCAGGGAACTCTGGAGAAGGACGGGACCTCTGTGCCTCTGCTTCTCTCCTGAGAGCTCACCTCCACCCAAAAAAATGTAAAGGTAATGAAGGTGTTTGGTGTCCCAAGAACAAATTTGTGAAGAGGGTGTTATTGTGACCATGTGACAGACAAGGGTGTTGAGCTCAGTGGTTTGCCTGCCATCACACAACCAAGGGACAGGACTGAGATTCTGTCTCCAGTTTCCTGACTCTGAGTTGCAGTCCTTTTTTATGACCTCTTTTGAAGAGGCCATGCAGATGCAAAGAAGTCATCTGTCCGGAGCTGTCAGAGTTTGGTCTATCTTGTGAGAACTGAAAACTACATTTGAAATTCACTTGGTGTGGGGTTTAATCGGTAGAACCCTGTCCCTTCTCTTCCACTCCCCCACATACTCCAAAGCTGGGGTTGGATTGAATCTGGTGTTGGGGGAGCCATTTCTGAACCTCCCTCCTGCTGGAGAGGCACCATGGAGGTTCTCAGCCAAGTGGCCAGTCCCTCTGGCCATAAAGAAAGATCCCTACTGGGTTTTCCATTATGGAGGCATCTTGACTCCTTTTTTTATGGCACCTGTGGGACTTATTTTTGGAGGGAAGTGGACCTTCTTACATTTTTGCTACTGTTGATCACCACTCTGCCCCCTACTCTACCACTACTATCACTTAGAATCAAAGCTGGTAACCCTCTAATCTCTCGTACCAGTTTGTACACTTGCCCACTTTAGCACTCATTACATTACATTCTACTGACTGCTGCACAGCCCATGTGTCTCATTCATCTTTGTATGCCCAGTTCTCGCACATGGCATGTCCTCAGTACACAGTCACCGAATTATTGGTTAGTGATTGACTCTACAGAGAAGATGGTATTCTTCAGACTCTGGGAGGAGGGTGCTGGAGGGAAGTGTGGGTTACCCTGGAAAAGCAGTTGTTATGTTCTCAGACACAAAGGGAAGGTGACATGTGACTGTTACTTGGGGTGTATGCAGTGCACAACCTGTATGACCGTATATGGTGGCCTTACTCAAAGGCCGCAATGAAGGCGGGCATAATAGTTACAGCTATAACAATGGTAACACCATGTTATTCTATGGTGAAACTTTGAACTCTTTCCAAAGTACTTTCCCTTCTATAATTTGACTTTGATCTTTAGAAAAGATTTATGATTCGTTGCATGCTATATGTATGTATTTATCCATATCTATTTGTCATCTGCCTACCAAGATATATATGTTTTATATGTGTATTATATATATTTATTTAGCATTCACTATACATCAAACAAATATATATATATATAATTCAATTTCATAACCAATCTATAAATTTGATAGTTACTGTCATTATCCTTTTATAAGTAAGCCAGAAGTGGTTGTAAGGGAGAAAAAAAATTTTTCCCCTACACTGTAGGTTCATTATTTAGGAGCATGCAAATTAAATTAACAAAGAGAGATCAATGGGAGAAAAGGAGGCTTATTTGTATGCATAGAGAGCTAACAAAAGTATTAGCTTATTAAATGATTAAAATTAGAGGCTTTTAAATTGAACTTAGTAGGGGGAAAAAGGAAAGAAAAAAAGGCTTCTATGGGAGGAACAACTAGGTTTTTTAGGAAAGACAAGTAAGTTTGAGAAGAACCAATGGGAGACAAGAGAGTGTGTGATACCTTCTTCATGGCCATGGGGCTCCCTCAGAGGGGTGGTTATGGCAGCCTCCTTTCCCAGTGTCCGCTGCTTTTAGTCAGATAAAATCCAAGAAGGTTTCTTTCTGCGTCTGATGAACCCCAAATATCTTCAACTTAAAATAATCGTCATACCAACTCTGAGTTTCCAAATGAGTCCCACATGGCAGAAGTCCCCAGACAGCTGCGGAGTGGAGGAGTCAAGACCTGAACACAGACACTCTTACCCACAGGGCTATTTGCCTCCAGTCCCATCCATTCGGACTTGTATATTTAGCTGACTGTGATACTAATCTTGAAAACATAGTCTTAATCTCCTAAATGTCTCTAACCCTCTGTAATAGCTTGACACCAGCAGTTAAAGTTGAATCTAGATACCAATTTGGGAGGAGATGTAAAAACCTTTGTTCTTGAATTAGGGTTTGACTGCCATTGGTTAAATTATCAAGACAGGCATGGGGTACTGACCCTCTAGTTTACATGCAAGGAAATGCCTTTATTCTGGAGTGATTTACTTGAGGGCACCTGAGTTAATAGCATTTTTGAAAGAGTTTCTTGACCTTGTATTTTATGATTTTTGCCACTGGAACCATAACCTTAGACTTGACTGAAAAGAGCTTTCAAAATAAAGGAGAAGCAAGCTCTTTTGTGAGGTAGGAAGGTGAACAGTAGATCAAGGATTTGTTAGAGGAGAATGAGGTGTGCTCCAGGTATGCACTGCAAAACCTAGACATTGCTTATAATCGAACCACAATATCATATGACACTCCTAGTTCTTGCTTTCAAGCATGTCCCTTCAGATCTAGAGGGCAAATACCATACCAGCATCGTAACGGGACAACCAAGGGGTCCGAGCTTCCTGTCACTACTTGAGTCAATTCAGCAGAGACAGGGTTGAATCATCTATGAGTGTTTATTCCAATCCTGCCGGCAGCATGGGAGGGCAGCAGTCAACCACAAACATCTGCGCTGCCCCCCACCATAAGCCAGCTGCTTATATTGGGTAGAAGGACAAAGATGACCTGGAGAAGTAGGAATTACAGGCATGGGGAAGTAGGCACAGGATAATCATGACAGGTGACAAGTCAGGAGGGTGGGTGCCCCTGGGCACCCCAGGACCAGATTGCAGGTAATAGGGGCTGGGAGTGTAAAGAGCAAGTGCCTCCAGGACTAGATTGCTTCAGCCAGGAGGTTGTCAATCTTTCCATGATGATAGGCAGTTCTTGGGAAAGGAGGATGGACTGCATTCCAAGGTTAGCTCCCATTTCCCTCCCAGCCAGGTTAGAATGTGCCTTCTTAATCAGAACAAAACAATCATGGCTAACAGAGCATGATTCATATTTCCTATTTTACTTCTTATAACTAATAGCTAGTCCTCAATCGTATATTTCTGCCCCTAACAACGTCACCAGGGAAAGGTCCGAACTTCTGTGTTAGGATGAAGCCCCTGCACCTGGGACCGCAGAGCTACAGTAAGGGTGCACCCATCAGCTGCCTCCATGCCCAGCCTTCAGTGGGAAGGATTTGGGTTTTCCCAACACTGGGTTTCTTCCCCTCCTTGCCTCACATCCACGGAGGCCACTGACTCAAGCCAACCACAGACAGTTCTTAAGTTTGGGTTCCCAAAAGGTCACATCGGCCTTACACCCAAACAGAGGTATGGATGTGACTTGAACCTTTTCTTTGGGATTAAAGCTTGAGATGTATTGGGAGTAGATTCATAGGCCAAAGCACCAGAGACAAGGAAGTCTGTATTTCTTTTGGTTTCTGCTCTTGGAACAGGGTTTCCTTGCCCACTTTAGCCACTCTTTGGAAAGTAAAAGTCTTAAAGGGAACCACCTACTTATGTCTGCATAAATACGCGTGACCTCAGCCCACTAACCATGGCTCCAATTACCAGTTACGTCCTCCCAGGAGGCACAGGGGACTCATTGCTCTTGCAATTAGATGCTTACAGAACTTATTTGCATGTGTTATCATTGTAGGCTCTGAGGGAGAAGGCTCTTTAAACATCTGGACCACAGTGTCTTGGGAAGGATACTCGTAGATTCACTGGACAGAAGAGACATTGGAAGGTCTTCTCATTTGCCCTCTTGCCTCTAAGGAGAAGCAAAAGGAGCAATTTTCAAAATGCCACCTTTAAAAGGCTTTAGAAAAGGTGATTGTGTTTCTTTCCGGAAACCTCAGGTGGTGCATCACCTTCATAGTCATAGCCAAACACAATCCCTCCAGCTAGGGCAGGAGTCCATTGTTCTTGCACCATCTGCAGCTCTATCTGCTCCCCCCTGGGGGCCTTGTTCTCTCCTCTCTGACCAGGCCAGTGTGTTTCATGAGAATTTCCTCTACAGCCCTGGGGGGAAAGCGCCTGATGTTTTGGCATCAGGCAGACCTGTTTTTGACTTCCTGGTTTTGGGCAAGTTACTAAATTCCTCTGAGTCTGAATTTGCTTTTCTCTAAAATGGGAATACTACCACAGTATCTCTCTGACAGTGTTGTGACGTGAAAACGCCTGGTACCTAGGAGTCCTTCGATAAATGTGCCTTTCCCCATCATTGTAGCATAACAAAGAGATGACTCTGTCTGAACCTGTTTCCCGAATGATTTTTTCCTCACATAATTAAACACTATTATATCATTACTAGAGGCCTGGTGCACGAATTTGTGCACTGGTGGGGTCTGGCTGGCCCACCCCGATC